CAAAATGCCCTCTTGCTCCGCCAATACAACCCAAAAATAATACACAAACCCTAGCACCCTTGCTCAGCCACCGCTGCCGCCGACGAACCCTAGCCCTTGTCAACACCCATCCCAACACTCAACATATCTCGTGCAACGGATGTGCCGTTCCTGGAGCCTCAATCTGAGGTCGCCCCTAGCATCATGACCTCGGATCAAGGCAGCGGACACCACGAGCGACCTCATGATCTTAGCATGGGTAGCCCCATTCTAAAACGTCGAGTAGTCAAAAAAAGACGCGAGGTATGCTTCAAACCTTATCAAAACTTTCGCAAATTCAATGACACCTCACAAACAATTTCGAATCACAAGTTTACGCGTCATTGCATATTCGACAACCAAGTCCCTAATCCTCAAAGAATCTTATGATTATGACTATAATGTTTTAATGGGCATGCCCGATTAGTTATACATCATTGTGACCTTAGTGACAACTCTCACATTCATAGCAATGGAAGTCCTAATTGAGATGTTGAAAATTGCCTGCTGATCCAGCTGTATGCGCCAAGGCGATTGACCCCAAGCACTTTTGATATTCTCTCTTGGTTCCTTGAGAAGAATGCAATAATCAATTAGGAGGATAATTATCAAAAAAAAGTCTTAAACATATTGTAATTGTAACACTTCAGTCTTAAATCTGTTAATTTAGCCAATGTAGTACGAAATCTTTTGAAAATATCGATGCACTCCATCCGATCAATTTTGGCCAGAAATAGCTAAAGCAAATGGATTATTTTTTTCTGAATTTTTTTATAAATTTTTTGTTTTCGTTTTCTTTTATCTAATTTTTATTTCTCTTCGTCCTCTGTGGTTGCTAGCCTACCCGATGGCTAGCGACCAGCCACAGACAAGGGCCGGCGAGGCTCGCCCACGCCAAATCTGGCGCCGGCCAACCTCACCGGCTCGCGAAGCTCGGCAGGGGCGGCTATGCCTTCCGATTTGGCTGTATGAGCCGAGGCAATTGGCCCGATCTCTTTTGATATTTTCTCTTCTTGGTTCCTTGAGACGAATGCAATGGTCAATTAGGTGAGCTTCGCGATCGAATTAAACGACCATTTAATTACGCTTAAGAACCCATTAATCCCTCCTTTGAAAAATCCTATCGTCCGACACACACCATCCAATGATTGAAGGTGCGGAAGCTTTTCCTTCCTTTTCATGCTTTTCTCTCTCTCTCTGTCTTGAGGTTTACTTTAATTTGTCGGACCACGAGGGCAATTTTTCGGAAAAAAATAAGAAATTAAAAATCATTTAAAGTCAATGTCGAGGTGATAAAAAAAAATATTTTTTTTCAGTTAGTTAAGGGCAATCGCTATACTTATTTGATTACCATGTGGGGTGTGTACATATAATAATAATAATAATAATAATAATGCAATATGCTGTAAATCATCATGACTTGGTGATGTTATAAATCGGTAGTCAAATATATAGAGAAAAAATTACGCAAATGGTCCTTAATTTCTGGTCTAACGTGCAATGTCATCCATGAATTTTTTATTTGTTCAATATAGTCCTTGAACTTTGGTCCAATGTTCAATACATTTTTTGAATTTTTAAATATTTTCATATAATTTAGGGACTATATTGAATATTTACCAATAATTCATGGACTATATTGAATAAATTCAAAGTTCGAGAACGGCATTGCATATTGGACAAAAGTTTATGGGCCATATTGAACAAATTAAAAGTCCAGAAACGACGTCGCATATTAGACCAAAGTTCCCAAACATATAATTGTACGCCTATCTCCTCCTCGATTAATTCAGGAAATTCTAATGTTTTATTGCCCTTGTTTTGAGCGCAGCAAGAAAAGCAACTAAATGGCACGGTCCCGTACCATACACGATCGATCACGCAAGCATCATTATGTTTGCCTAATCAATTAACGTGTGTAAAATGCTATCACTTTAATAGAAAATGATTTGACCCAAAAAAATAAAAAGTGGGTCTAATTTTACGCTGGCTAAAACTTAAACCGGTTTTCTAAAACCTGCAGGTTTCATGTGATGATAAGACTTTTTGTTCAGTGCCCGCGAGATAAACGAGGGAGTTAATCCAAGAGCGACACTACAATCCCTTTGAAAAAAAAGGGATCGGTCATTGATATCAAACTCGACAAAAGAAATCAATTCGATAACGTTTTTCATATTCGTCGCGAAAGCCAAAAAAGAAAAAGCCGAAAAATAAGGGAGAAAATTGGCAATCGATGTGAAATATCATTATTTACGAAAAAATATCTTGGTTTTTATTGGGAAAGCCGACAGAACGATGTGATGTTTTTCTTCCGCGTCCCGACAAGTTGTTTTTCACGTGCGATCCAAGATACGGGGGGCTGTCGAACGTATGGATCGCATGCACCACGTTTTTTCCCCCCACCGAGAAATCATCCCAACCGTCGCCCTTGCCTTGCACGCCAGATCAGGCACCGCACATCATCAGGTCAAAGTCAAAGGCGTCCGGGCGCCCGCGCTGGGGGGCGTCGCACCCGATTACGGCCCCTGATGCATATCGCGGTCGCTTACGAATTTTGCTAAAACAGGAAAAAGTTTGTGGCCAGCAGAGAAGAAAATGTGGCGCGAGTTGGACGGGGGGGTGGGGCAGTGATCTGGTGCGTCGCGGCTGGTCGCGTCGGCTTGTGATGATCAGGCACTTGTCGAGTCAGCTGCGCGGCTGTCTGTGACGATAACGTCCGTGAAAGCTTTCAATTGATTGGACGTCACGTCACGTAGGGTGTTGGGGGAACAATTTCGTCTTATTATTTTTGTTAAAGCTATTCATCTTTTCTTTCCCTTCAATGCTGCGTTTAATAATTTAAGCAAAACGTACTATTCTTTTGTCGGACAAAATTTAATATATTATTCAAATTTCGAACAATTAAATTGGTTATGTGTGACCATATTGCGAAGGTTTCGAATGTGTGCCGTGAATCTTTTTTTTCTTTAAATCGCTAAACCATTGAAGCCGAATGAATTATAAATACAAAGGTAGCATTGAAGGATGAGAATTTATTTGACATGGAAGTAATAATGTAACAGTGACGTGGACCTTGAAGTGTTGCAATACGTGTGTTTAATCACAACATTTTAAAACCAACTAATTGAGATAATAAAAATATTGCCAACTGACGCAACTGTAGAGGCATTGTGTCGTTTGAGCACTCATTTTAACGAAGGGGTAATGCTATGTAGAACCTATGAAGTTTTGCTTGACATTCAATTCAGTCTCTGAATTTTTAAATCGGGTTCGATGTCGTCTTTACAATAAGTAGACTAACAAAAGTTATCAATGCAATCTCTAACACTGTTAATTGAGGTGTTCAATTACACTGTTCATATGCTTCCACATCATCCATTAAAGGGACCCGCTCAATAGACCCTTGAGCCGGCAGTCAATACAAGCAAAAGAGCACTCGATTTGGCATCATCGCATCTGCCGGCAAGACCGCACCAGCCGATGATGCAAAGTCCGCCTAATGAATTGAAAAAAAAAAGAAATGGAGATCGAGGACAATATCGAACATCAATGAATAGCTCAAAGACAGATACACGGCATCGTCACTTCAACCCGTCACGAAAAGAATGGTACCAAGTAACTCTCGAGAAACATCATCGGTCGGACGCGGAGTTTCAAGTCAATTTGTCTCGGAGAATCGGTAAAGGCAGATGATTGCCCATACGTATACTACAAGAAGGGGGAGAAAAAAAAGGGTTCATTACTTAGTGGGATGGAGTTAAAAAGAGTCAACCTCGGAACCAATCTTTCAATGGTCGAAGACCACGTAAGCCTGAGTAGTTAAGCAAGTACTACCGAGAAGAACCGCCACCGACACATCCAACCCCCGCTCCCCCGCCCCGCCCTGCCGCCGGACCCGACCCGGCCCGATCCCCGGGGCTCCGTGAGGTCGGCGGACCGCCCGAGCCCGTCTTCTTCGGAGCCTCTTTTCGGCACCCGCCGCCGTCGTCTTCTGTCGACCACGCTGTCCTCGTGGGGAAGTGCGCGGGGGTAATGATTGTCGGAATTCGGAAGCTTCCGCGTTTCGGACCCGCGAATTATTTATTTAATCCTTTCGGCTTGCCCCACTCCCCTACTTTTTCTTTTAAAAAACGTCACCCTCTTATTTATTTTTTTATTTTTTTTATAAATTTATTTTAGTTTCCGATTATCTGTAACAAACAAACATTTCATCGAATCCCGATCTCCAGAGGTCCGAATCCACGCGCGGGCCCCCCCCGCGCTCCTCGACAAAAAACGCATCGTGTCGGTCGATGAATTTTGTATTCGATATTAATCGGAAGAAGCAACGTAATCGCCAAATACATTGCACACTCTCGTGCAATAATAATAATTCACTAATTTAGCAGGAAAAAAATTGGGGGGGAAAAATTATATATTCTTTTTTTCCCCTTCTTTTATTGTCCCAGAAAGATGACTTTTTATTGATTATTTATTTATATCAACTATTAATTAGAAGAAGCAACATAATCGCCGAATGCATTGCACGCAATAATTCACTAATTTAGCAGAAAAAAATGGGGAAAAAAAGATATTTTAATCGTCCTTCTTTTTATGTAGGGTTAGAATCACAAAAAATTCTAAGCTGATACACTTGTAACAAATTTTCCCTTGGTTAGTTTCCGTTAAATTTTGCAATCAAATTGCCGAATTTGATGACATGTTGCAGTTGACAAGTGTACCAGTTTAGGATTTGACCCCTCCACTTATCACAGATATATCCGTTTATGATTTTTCGTGATATTAATCCAATTTAACGGATGGTAAATTTATCGCAAGTGTATTAGTTTGGGGTTTTTCGTGGTATCAACCCTTTTATTTATTTATCCTACTTAATTTTTCCCGGTTTGGCTTTGAAAGGCCATAAAAGAGGATTTCAACACGCCATCGCTTTTCTATATATATACAAGAACCGTTTATACGATGACACGAACGTGTAAACGCTTCGTTCTTGCTGACCATAAGTACGCCGTTCGTGGGAGCTTCTAACTTGCTGTAATCTTGCTCTAATTCTTGCATCGCTCCCTCGTCGATTTTCGTGGAGGCAGAGAGAGAGAGAGAGAGAGAGAGAGAGAGAGATGTCTTAAAAACCAATCCAGTTGCTGTCCCAAGAGCAGCACCAGATTTGGCGTAAAACCCACTTGATTGCTTCACCTTCCTCCCTCTCTCTCTCTCTCTCTCTCTCTCTCTCTCTCTCTCTCTGAGAGCTTAGCTTGGATCCTAAGTATGATTCACATCCCTCCTTCTTGGCTTTCGAAATCGTCTTAAACCGGTTCTTGATCTTTCCTTGTGTTCGCAGCTCGTAGGACAACCCCAAGAACAGCGCATAAATCCCCATCCGGACCTCTCTTATTCACTAGCTTACGAGGCCTGCTTGTGTATTAATTTCCTGCTTTGGCTCATATCGTTGTCCTTACAGTTATCCTTTCCTCCACTTCTCCGGCACTCTGCTCTCTGCCAAGAATGGGGAGGCATTCTTGCTGTGTGAAGCAGAAGCTGAGAAAAGGGTTGTGGTCGCCCGAGGAAGACGAGAAGCTCTTCAACTACATCACCCGATACGGCGTCGGCTGCTGGAGCTCCGTCCCGAAGCTCGCCGGTAATGACGATATTAGCATTTTCGTTTTTTTTTTTGTTTTTGTTTTTGGCTGACAGGCAAGACACCACGACAGATGAGAAAAGAGAACCCCATTCACAGTTCTTGGAGAGAGTTTGATTCAAAAACCATTTTGAATGATTGGTTTATCTCATCAAATGCAGGACTGCAAAGATGTGGGAAGAGTTGCAGATTGAGGTGGATAAACTACCTGAGGCCTGACCTCAAGAGAGGGATGTTCTCTCAAGAGGAGGAGGATCTCATTGTCAGTCTCCACAAAGTTCTTGGAAACAGGTACAGATACTGCTATATATGATTTCGAGAAACGCCCACCAAGAACATTTCCTTTTTCTTGTTTTTTATTTCCCTTTTGAATGAATTCTTCGTGGAATATTCATGGGATGACATACACAGGTGGGCTCAGATTGCTGTGCAATTGCCGGGAAGAACCGACAACGAGATAAAGAACTTCTGGAACTCCTGCTTGAAGAAGAAGCTGACGAAGCAAGGCATCGACCCGGCAACACACCAACCGATCAGCCAGGTCCAACTGATCAAAGAAGAGAAATGCGCCGAGAAAGAGTCCTTGGAAGTGCCACAACCCAAGGGACTCATCCCGGCCGTATCGAGTTTGAGAGCACACGAGCCAGCATTTCTAATGAGCGACACTTACTTCGAAGGCGGAGCACTAATAGAAGCATCCAGAGAGTCCGCCGATAACAATAACTATATCAGCAGGCCGGTTTTCGATTCTTTACCTTATTTTGAATTCCAGTCCGGGGTCGACCCGGTCGGCTTTAATTCCAGTCTTCTGAGCCAGTACCACGATCCTCCTAGAACCATTGACCAAAACCATCTCGAGATGAGTGCTAACTTTGAGTTTTCCTCGATGCCAAGCCTGACTAATTTCGACCACCCCGGCGGGACGATGAGCGGGTCAGAGTTCTCGAACAATTCCACTTCGAGAATGAGTTCATTGTTCTTCCACGAGGCAAAGGACCAATGCTCAACCAATAATAGCTCAAGCATCGGCAACTACACGGGGTTTCAGGTCAACAGCTCGGTCGAGAATGCAGCTTTCTCTTGGAGTTCGAGCGAGAACAAGCTGGACAGCTTGTTTCAGTACCAGGTCAATGGGACAAGCAAGTGTGAAGAATTGAAGCCACAAGGTTCATGGCAAGAGGATCAGCTACACATCGGTCCTGTTAATTCATCGTCGGTAGATTACAGTAGCTTTCAGCTGACATCACTTTCGGAGGATCTAACTGCGGTGAATTTCGACATCTTTCAGCAGATGTAAACGTGTACATCCGGTTCATCTTATTTTTCTTTTTCCGGTTTTGCTCTAATCACAAAAGATACACACAGATGTCGATATATACAGGAAGTCATTCTCACTGAGAGATTGGAAAGGAGTTTAATTTTTTTTTGTCTAAGTTTCCCCTTTTCGACCCATGTTTCGGTACACGGCAATACATCGCAATGTCATTATCTTTTCCATTGAAAGAAATAAGTAAAAGACTTCGATTCTTCTTTTCGTTTCTATTCCCTGTAAGCTTCCACGATTGTTATTCAGTTTTTGTGGTCCTGATCAAAACTCTCTTCCCAAATCATATAGTGCGCAGTAATGATACTACTCTTCCATGGCTGCATTCTCGGACTCACTTAATCATTGTCTATGTTTATGTATATTTGGCCATGTGTGTGGTTTTTCATCCACATGATAAGTGGGACATGAGCCATCGGACTGTCGTGGACATTAGAGATATATGGAATAATCTGGTGTTCACATACAGATGCGGGGTTGTAATACGTTCTAACTTAAGCATAATGTATGATCCAGCTGCGACCACACCATTTTGGCTTGCATGCATCGACACAAAAAGATTAATTTGGCCATGGAGCTGGTCCCACCTAAAGGCTCAAATTGGCTGGCATGTCCATTATTGAGAGAGAGAGAGAGAGAGAGAGAAGAGTCAAAAGTCTTTTTTTTCTCTGTATATGTGACATTGAATCCATGGGAACTACTGGTGCAATAATCTTCCAATCCATGGAAAACTTCAGATAAGGCTCCACTAGGAAGACTAAAAGAAAGAAGGCACGCCGGCAATAGAGAACTCGATGCTCGGTGTCATACTAGTACCAAATATTAAAGCGTAGCATGAGATTTAATACACGGTAAGTTTAGACAAAAAACCAATCGAGTTCGGTTGTCATACAGTGTACAATATAAAGCTCTCGGCTCACCCAATGATACATTAGTGGTGACATCCTTTTCCTCGTGAGTTTCGGTGCGCATATCATGTAGTTTCGTGAAACAATTTCCATCTCCAAAGAAGGTGTGGGAAAGATGTGTAGATGTTTATGTTTATATTCTCACGTTAATCAATAATCTTCGCTCTATGTATGTTGGTATAGCTTAGAAGGTAATCTTCTTTGTTTATGCGATCATCATTACCTTGTTTAATTAGGGAAACCTTTCTCCACGCTGGTGATATTATATATAGTTTTGTTTAAATACTCTTCACATGCCCAAAGTGTGACAATGAGAAAGAGAATGAGCAAGAATGGCGCCCATGTTAAGCATGATTTGCCTTCTTTAGAAAGTTCTTACGGCAAGCATCCAAATAAGATTGGAAAGGATGAGGTCAGCCAAAAGTGATTAATGGGACCACTGTAGCCCATCAATCACTATGCACTAATCTGGATTGACTTGATGAGCATTACTCCTCAATGTTGTGAGGTAACCAACTTTAAAACACATAGGGAAAATTAGCAAGAAAAGTTATAATTTATTGTACGGATGCCAATTCGATTTTAAATATTTTAATTGTGTCAATTTAGTTCTGTATATTTTGATAATTCATCATTTTAGTCCTAAACCTTTCAATTTTGCCAATTTAGTCATATACCTTTTGTTGCCAATTTAGTTATTCCGTCTAATTTTGACTGAAAATCGCTAGAGTGGTGGTCTAGTCAACACCAATTGCCTTACGTCAAATAGCCAGTGTTAACAAGGACAATTTTTGCAATTTTTTTTGAATTTTTTTTCATTTTTCTTTGCTTTTCTTTCTTCTTTTTTTTCCAACTTCAAGCCAAAGACCCTCGTCGGCCACGAGTAAGGGCCTCCTTGCCCTCACCGGCCACAAGCGAGGGTTGGTTGGGGACCTCGCCAGCTCAGAGTTGAAAAAAAGTAAAGGAAAAAATGATAAAAAATTAAGAAAAATATAGGAAATTGCAAAATTTGTCCATGTCAGCACCGATCGTGCCACGTAGGACGGCCAGCACTAACTAGATTGTCACGTTAGCGATTTCCAGCCAAAATTTATCGGAATGACTGAATTGGCAAATCGTCAAAAATTTAACGACTAAATTAGCACAATTACAATGTTTAGAACTAAATTGGCAAACTGTCAAAATGTTAAAACTAAATTGACACAATCGAAAAGTTGATGACTGAATTGACCGCCTACGATAAGTATTGGAGTTTTTGTCGGAGAGAGTGGTTAGAGGTTTATTCTTAGTGATGCGGACGGTCAAAGCAGAGTGCGGATCGAAAGGGAGAAAAAGCTACTCAAACAGGAACGGTAGAGTAAACCGACAGGAAATGGGGAAAAAAAGGCCAGCGATCCCCAACTTTATACTCGGTCAAACTAAGGTACGCGACGGGTTGTTGCTTTTGGCGTGTTCTTGTCGCCGCTCAAAAAACAAAAGAATGATGCCGGTTCTCGCCATTCTTGACTGGTACAAACGCACCGACATGGCGGCAAGGCAAAAGAGGAACAAGAAACCACTCATGATGTTCGTTCATGTCCGAGAATCAACGCCTGCAAGAAAGAGTGGCGAAGTAACATGAAAACGATCCCGTGTCACCTGTCGGCACAGTACAGCTTTTAAGTTGTGTTTCTTGGAGCTGGTAACTCTGATGTTTTCTGCATGAGAAAGGTTTGCTGTTGAACTTCAGTACAAGTAATCTCCTACCAAACATGGACTTCCTCTTCTGGGTCAGGATTAAAGGCATGGAAAAACCAGAACTTTGAACCAGACGGGTTGCTGTCGCTTCGTCCGGAAGCTCTCTCTCATGGCTTCATTGTGAAGCCAGAGCGCGAGTCGGGTTACCCTGGGGAATGTTGTTTTCATGTCTCTGTTGATTGCTCTTTTGGCAAATTAGGGCCGGCGATTTAACTCCTTAATGATCATTTTCCTTCTGCAATTAGAGATTGGTTTTCACTCCACTTGGGAGACCCATTTACATTGCTTGGCTTAAATATGAGGTTAGGTAAGCTAGAAACTTCGATCTCATATTCTTTTTCAACTCCTAATTCCATCACATCGTCAAATAGAATCATCAGAGTGGTTGCTAATGTAAGAGTTAGTTAACAAGATTGAGATTTTGTTACTCAAAGACCAACACAGCAGACATGAATACTACTTATGAAAGCTTACAAAGAAGTCAAACCAAGCCCCAATCCGCCATTACAGGGTAGGAAAAAAGAGAACCGAAAAAGCAAAAAGTACAAAGAACAACCAACCCACCAAAGCACACAAGAAGAGAAACTGTAGAAATTCAGACTAGACCTGATCAAATGTGAGCTGGCGCCTATTTATTGCCCAAGCCCACCTGCTGGCCACCAAAAAAATTCAATATGGACTTCTAATCGGGCCAAGCCGGGCCTAGTCGAAAAGTAAAAACGGTTTTTATTTCCCTTTTTTTCTAAAAGATGCTCTAAAACCGGTTTAGAACCGGTTCAACTCAGGAACTGAATGGTCGAACCGGTTCCCAGGTAAAACCGGCGGTTCTGCCCTTAGAACTGGTCAGTGCAGACCAGTTTGGTCTGGACCCCGAATTGAACTGGACCTGATGCACACCCCCAGTCAAAAACGGGCGGGGCAATGTCATGCCCCTATCCAGATATATATTTTCACCAGTCAAAATGGGAACAGAATAGTTGCTAAAATCGTACCAATCACATTACCATCTCCATCTATAGAGAGTGAAAGTAAGTCCACCAGAAACAAGGTGAAAGGGTTCTCGAGGAAAACAGCATTGAATAAGAGACAGCTGAAACAGGACAGAATTTCAACAACCATGTCTAACAAATACAGCAGTTTTATGAACTTGAATGACAAAGCAACCCACCATAGGAATGTAAATCAATATCTTGCCCTACCAGATTTGTTAAACTAGCTTGAAGACCAACTAGCTGGCTCAGAATGAAGTGCAAAATCTCTAGTCATAGCAAACAAGAAACCCCTAAGAACTATTAACAATGACTGCTGAATTATCCGTCAACAACTTCATCTGGTAAGAGTTTTTTTAGGAAAAAAACCAGCAAGAGATCATAAGGAATAAGAAGACAAACTAGTCATCTTCCCATGTTCAAGTCATTATAGGCACAACCAGCATCTCAATTGAGAAGTGTCCTTTCTATGGCACTCAACATGGTTTCTGTTAAGGCAAAACTTGGAGTAGAGTGCATACGAAGGGTCAAGACTACCCACAACGGCATAAGGAGACTCAAGAGATCGGCTAAGATATGACATCACCAGTCGAAATCAAGTCAAATTATGTGCAGCCAATCATGGTACACTGTCCAGGTGTCAACTCAACACAACCGTTCTATACAATAAAAAGCTCTCCTCACAAGCATCACTCTCATATCCCTGATATCATACATAAGTAATCAGACAGACCTGCATGGATGATTCGTCATGAACTCTAAAGAAAAACTAATCACGGTGCACGTGATTGCCAGTGTGAGTGAGCTCCAGCATGATAAATAGTTAGATGGTGTACTGTTTTGGCAAACAAGTCTTTCAGCTCAGGATGCTGAGCAGCGACAGAACGAGCCATAGACTCAACAGCATTCAGTACTCGTGCTTGTTCAAGCACCTTACTGTTGCCGACATGGAGTGAAAGGTAACATAGTAGCACGAGCGCATGTAGTTGAGCCCGATCGTTAGTCTTCAACAGTTTAAGCAGAGGAGGAACGCCATCGAATTCAATAATCGCCTTGGAGTGCTCCACACGATTGAAATTCTCGGGACAAGCAAACTTTCCCAGGGCAATAGCAGCTTCAATCGCCACGTCCATGTCTCCATGAGTGAGGTGGCAAACTAAAGGTTTGATAATTCGGGATTCTTTAGCTGGGAAAGTCCTAGCCAGCGATCCAATGGACTTGATGGCAGGAATCAGAAAATCCACATTGCTTTCTTCTTGAAGAATTCTTAGTAATTGGTCCAAAACTGCCTTTGCAAAGGGACTGTTGGGCTTGAAAACCACTCGTCTAAGATCAGTATTGGATTCTGCCACTGCCGCTATCTCGGTCACGGTCATCAAGCAGTTATACTGCAAGTCCCCTCTTTCCGCCTCGATAATCTTCGCCAAACAAAGCAACTCTTTAATCTCTGTAATCTTCTTGCTATTAACCAAACTTCCCCTAGACAACTTCCACAAAGCCCCAGCACAACTAACCTTAAGCCTAAGCTTTGTTTCCGGGGTTTCAACCTCCTTCTCCTTCCTATGATGCCCGCCCCTGCTAC